GGCAAGACGTGTCTTCAATATTGAGCTCCATATCGCCAGGGAGAAAAATAAACTTCTTTTTCATTATCAAAAGTGGGAGAAGCTAACTCATGTACTTTGTATTAGTTGATACACGTAGGTTCGTTAAAATTAGTAGGCATCTTTATTGTTATCGTGGTTGTTGTAATATATATATATAATTTCGTTGTTATTGTTATCCTTTTCTTTTTCTTTTTCTCTTCTTTTTTCTTTTTTTTTTTTTAAAGTAGAATTGTATATTCATTTAATTAATGTTTATTCTTAACTAACATTGTAAAGCTCGTCTTTAATTCAATAAAAATTTAGCAAAAAAAAAAAAAAAAAACAGTGAGCACTATTGGACCGATACATGATAATTCAATTTTTGGAGGAACTGGGACGTTACTGATAAATATCGGTGCTTAAACAGCTTGTATGGGTTGTCCTCCTTCAATCGGTGGTTCTGCGGGCATGTTTCAATCGCTTGCTAAACTTGCTGTTGACCAGGGTTGACGTTCAAATATGACTTTGTTAACCAAACAAAAGTGTGAATTCGAAACGCTTTCTGACACCACAGAACGTCCTGGCTTTGTGAAGCAACAAAACAGTCCTCGTAAACAAACGATATTTTAATCTATAAGATTCACTTCGCTGAAAATTCCTGTACAAGATCGCGAGCACATGTAAAACCTGGCATCCCAATGGATAACAACTATTACGTGCCGTTGCATTCTAAACTGGTTTAAAGACTACTTGCATAATCGTACTCAGTTTGTTAAGATTAACAATACTAAATCCAGCTATGAAACGACCGTTTGTGGTATACCATAAGGGTCAACGCTGGGTCCACTATTATTTTACTTTACATCAATGACTTGCCTAACTGTTCGAAGAAACTATCATTTCGAATTTTTGCTGATGACACAGATATGTTTTACACAAGTGATAAGTTGCAACATTTTGAAACAGTCATGAATGAGGAATTGAAATTAGTTTTTAGGTATTGCATCACAAACAAGCTATCTATAAATCTTGCTAAGACAACTGGCTATATGGTAATCTCATCTTCAAGATTAAATGGAAGTATATATAATTATACATAATATTGAACGTAAAAGTCAAATAAAATATCTAGGTGTATATATTGATCAAAATTTACACTGAGGATCACAGATTCAAAACATAAAAAAGCTAGTGAAAAATATAGGCATCATTAATAAATTAAGATATTATGTAGATCTTCTTATTTTAAAGCAGTTTCATTTCTCCCTCATTTATCCATATTTAACTTATGGTATTGCAAGCTGGGGCAATGTTTGTAATATCAGGTTACGTAACATTAAAACGAAACAGAATAAATGTGTTCGTAGCTTGTTCTTTGCTTCTGACAGGGACAATGCCATGCCATACTTCAATTTTTTTAGAAATTCTTACAATTGAAAACATTTACAAATTCAAAGAAGCCCTTTTCACACATAAAATTACTAACAATGCAGCAAACGTCTCTACGATATTCAAAGGAACCCTTACACTAGCCCCTGAGATTCATTATTACAACACCAGATTTGCATCCAACCTTAATTCTCATCGGGAGTGGATAATTTGAGTAATTTGATTTCACTGCCCTCACTATCAATTATCTTCTCCATTGTTTTTTTCTTTTTATAGCGGAGCTCCACGCGCACGCGAAGCGTGCGTGTGGGCGGAGCCCCATGGCTAAGGTAATCTACCCATCCAAGGAAATTTGGTAATCACGTGACCGTACACTGAACGAACGAACGAACGACCGTCCGTCCGCACCACAGGGCAACCAATGTTTACTCTCACACTTTCTAGCGAGTTTGGGAGCCCAGGAGAAAACTAATTGGTCATCAATGTTGTGATCAATTGACAGCTGTCAAAACAGGGTATCCGCTGACCAGTATCACCTGACCGTACCGCGGGCTCAACTGTCGACCCGTCGAGGTCGAGTACTTTTTTGCAGTTATCCGTTGACAAATTACCAGTTTCAAATGGTCGCAGGCTCAAGTTTACTTTTTTCCAATGATTCATATTAAATTTGTTGTGTTTATGTCATTATGGCCCCGCACTATTAAGATTTTGATTTCAAACTGACCTCGGACGCGAAAATTCAGCCAGTTTTTTAAAAATACATGCGGAGAAGACATTTTCTTACCATGGTCACGCGTTGGTCACGCTCTACATCCAATTTTTATGCTCTGATTGGTTAAAATTTGACAGGTGAGTTCATGCGGAAAATTTATGCAGCCTCTTGAAAGTTGTTTACTTTGAGAGCTGAAGCCGACAGAGTTTTGTGTCAACTGGTGATGTTTTTAACTGCCTTTTTCGACCGGATGTACAAAATGAAATACAGCTTCTATCAAGAGTCTTCTGTTATTCATGGCTGGTTTGTTTATTGGGTTTTTGGTTGAGAAATGCGTCGCTTGTCAAAATTCGGTAATCCGATTTCGGATGGCGTCGTTTTTGTTTTTCACCTTGCTTAACGCGTAAGAGGGTTTAAAAGTCTCAAGCAACTGTGGCCTTCTTTGATAGCTTTCAGGAACTGAATCTCGAATGGTAAGCCTGAGTAATTATTGTATTTGATGTTTGTTTTTGTTATATCTAATTTCATGAAGTCGAGCACAGTTTATGCGGCAAGTTTATGCACGTTTGTAAGATTTGAGTCAAGGATCTGACCTAGTGTAAGGTTTGATATAAGCTTACAGAACTTTAAAAGGTCTTCAGATATATTTTTTCACCGCAAATGAAAAGAAAACGTTCCGAAGAATATTTAGTTATAAATTTGGCTGTAGAAAGAAACCTTTGAGCGATTTTCTTGCTTCGAGGAGTTCATCTTTGAAAAAAGCAAACACCGGGAGGCCGGATGAAAGTAAAACCTAATTAAGTTAAGCTTAAAGACTCAGGATTTTTAGAGACACTTTAATACTTGTCTTCGTGAATGAAAATTGTTGCCTCTGTAAATGTTTCACCGAATTATATTTCTTTTATTGATTGTTAGTAGTCTCTCTTGCAATTTTCATCGCTTGTACGTGCCGTTTGTTTTCATCGTTCATGAACATCGCTTGCAGGAGTACTAAAAAATGTCGCGCGTATCAAACGCTTCATAAGATTACATATCGTTATAACTGAAACCATTAAATAACAAAAAATTATAATAATAGATTCGTTATTATGTTGAAGCGTAACTCTATTAAAGTTCATTCAAACACTCGACCACACTGACAGCTCGCACTAGAAATGAGAACCGGCTGGCCGTATGGGTGATTTTGGAATTTTTCTGAAAGGTTTCGCTAAAAGCCCACGATTGATCGTCCTGAATATTGACTAAGTGCAATTTGTCTTGAAAAATTGTGAAATGCCGCATTCTGTCCGAGGATTGTATGATAAATAGTACTTTTTCACCTCAGATGTGATATACTGAAAGAGTATGAAAGGTTGGTTTACACACCCTCAGATTTGTTGGAAAGAATTTGTAAAGTAAACCTGTCAAACGCAAAAAGATTCGGCCTGATTTGTTTTCCAAGAATTTGTTTTTGAGGCCTAATCTACTGTGATCAAGAGCCACTATGGCTCTTGAATGTGATCGAACATATTTGCTATTTTTTGGATGTACATATAAGGCTATCAACCCGATGTAAGATGTTTCACTCTAAAATAACTTAGCCTTTCCCTCTAAAGTCACATGAATGTGCCCTTAGGTTAACCGATTTGTGGATTACAAGTTTATTGTTTGATTTAGATATAAAGTTATTAATGGGAGCTTCGCTTTTAGCCGTGGCTAAATATATATATTATAAAATTGTAAGTATAACTTTATGCACTCTTAATTTTCCTGTCTCTGTTGTACGCTATTTAAATATCTACGCCAGTTAGTTACACTTGGTAGTGACCAACTCGAAAGCCTGAGCTCCTTTGGTCACTGCGCACATTCAATCTTTGATGTTTTTTGTAATTTAATGTTGTTTTATTTTACTTTTGTGACGTATTGTATTTTTTTTTTGTGGTAAACTATTGAAATAGTGCAGTAAATAAAAATCTGAAAATCTGAATCTGTAAAATTTGTTTCTCTTTTGGACTGTTTAAAGATTAGTTTTCTCTAAAATCACTGAGCCTTTCCTTCAAAAGTCTCATGAATGTGCGCTAAAGTTAACTGATTTGTGGATTATACGTTTATTGTTTGATTCAAATTATAAATTTATTAACGGGAGATTCGCTTTTAGCCCTAGCCAAATCTATATATTTGCGGGCGACAAGAGGAGCCCCCAATCCTAATCGCATGGTGTAGCCAGCATTCGTTTGGACTTCCACTGAGAATGAATAAAATGCACAAAATGCAATTTGATTGAACAAATTGCAATTTGATCACTCGAGTTTCGACCTTCTACCCCTCGCAATCTGTTCACTCGTGTTTTGATCATCTGTCTCGTTAAACTGACGCAAGGCACAGCGTTGGAACAAAAGCATTTTGACCTCCGATCGCTGTCGCCCGCACTCCTTAATGTTTGGTTATTACTAGTTGTATTCAGAGCGAATCTAGTTACAAATTAAACCATTCTTATGTAAAATTCCTCAATCATTTTCTTGTAAGTTACTTTCCTCCAAACATTTAGTGTGGTTACAGAACAGCACGGTTTTCCCCACTGCAGTTCTGGCACCTTTCATGTTGACGTTTAATAATCACTCAGCAACTCAAATACGTCCTGTTTGCGGTAGAACACGACACAAATTTTTCCCCTGCTTAAAATGGCTTGTAGACTGCTTGAGGCACCCAAGTCATTGTCGTCTGTCCGGGCTCAAAACAGCTGTAAGTAATTTGCACTGGAATCAACACTTCTCCGTCGGACATCTTCAACCACTGAGAATCTTAGGTAGTAGTGTTTCAAGGAAAAAATAAAAAAAAAAGAAAAGAAATGGCATCAAAGAAAACAGAATATAGGGATGAAAACGAACGGACGGAAAGGAAAGGAAAGCGAAAACTATCGTCACCCAGTGCAGACTTCATCTGTCTCTTGGATTCGGCCGTTAGTAACTTCCATTTGGTAAGTTCCTCTTGACGGATGCACCGTGGAAGACGCTTTATAGCAATTGCCGAACAACATTCCCCTCACTTTTTGCCTGAATCTCAGGTTGACTAAGGCGTACACCACTGGATTGATAGCAGAATTGAACAAGATCATCGTGTTAGATGCTGCATATGGTAAGAATGCAGGATAGGAGAAAAAGTAGTAGGCGACGTAATTAGCTGAGTCGGTTAACCAGCACACCCCAAAAATGAAACTGATAATCAGGACCATCAAAGTAACTCTTTTTCGCACCTTTATCACACCCTAAAAAAGTAAAAACAAATTGTATACCGTAAACCCGGGGCTACTCCGGGATTTCTTGATGGAGGTGTGCTGCTTAGTTCTTAAAATCCTAACCTTATTTAAGCCAAAAAGTGTCATTTTCACACTGTTCTCTCACCTAGCTTCTAAAATCCATACCCGTTTTCAAACCTGGCCTGTAGACTTTGTTTGGCAGGGGCCGGTCACAAACGCGCCATTTATGTTTACTTTGACAGAAATTGTGTCATTATTACTTAGATTAGAACGCCAACAAAAAGATTCCTTAAATTACCTTTCGAATTCGTATATCGCTCTCACCCGGCTCACTCATTTGGAAACGACAAAGACGTTCTTGCACTCCCATAATTCCCTCGAAAGACCAGAAAGGGCAAAGTCTGTACCCGTTTTCAGATCGTAACGGCGCAGAAACCATACCCCTTGAGGTTATCCCTTTTTGACAATAAATCCGGTCTCTACTAAGCCTTGCCGGGGCTAATGTATTTCAAGAACGCTTGAGGGTGCGGGGCTTAATAGAGACCGGGGGGTATAGAGGATTTGTGATAATGTAATTGCGCACAATGTGATATTGTCTGCTGCTCTTATAACGAGTAATATATTTATCACAACTTCGAGCATTATGGTATCAGTACCACTACACAGTCACGTCCCCTGTTGGCACCACCGCCACAACTATTACTACCAAATTGTTCATGCTGACTCTGTTTCAGATCCTTCTATCTCTCAATACTACAGCCTAGTTTAGTAATATGTAAAGGGGGGAAATAACGCGAAACAGGTAAAATCATTGCCCTAATTTCGATTTGTCAAGTGCAATCCAGTTTAAGCAAACAGTCTCTTGCTTGGAAATCGTTTCAGATCTGTGCAACGATACTACTGCATTAAACTGTAAGCAACAATTTATAAGTATAAGTAAAATCATTTTACTTATACTTTATGTAAAACACCACCACCAACAACAACAAATACTGCTACTACCACCACCTCCTCCACCAAAACTACGCAGCCACCATCACCACCACCACCACCACTACCACCCACCGCTATTACCATGACCAGCACTACTACAGTACCACTATCACTACCACCCCCTCCTCCACCAAAACTACCACAGCCACCATCACCACCACCACCACCACTACCACCCACCGCCATTACCATGACCAGCACTACTACAGTACCACTATCACTACCACCACCTCCTCCACCAAAACTACCACAGCCACCATCACCACCACCACCACCACTACCACCCACTGCCATTACCATGACCAGCACTACTACAGTACCACTATCACTACCACCACCTCCTCCATCAAAACTACCACAGCCACCATCACCACCACCACCACCACTACCACCCACCGCCATTTTCATGACCAGCACTACTACAGTACCACTATCACTACCACCACCTCCTCCACCAAAACTACCACAGCCGCCATCACCACCACCACCACCACTACCACCCACCGCCATTACCATGACCAGCACTACTACAGTACCACTATCACTACCACCACCTCCTCCACCAAAACTACCACAGCCACCATCACCACCACCACCACCACTACCACCCACCGCCATTACCATGACCAGCACTACTACAGTACCACTATCACTACCACCAACACCACCGCCACCACAACTCACCACCACCACCATCAACACAATCTCCAGTCACTAACATTACCACAACTACTACCACCACCATCTCCACCCCAACTACTACTTTCACCATCCCCACCACCACCACCACTCACCATAACCATAATCATCACAACCGTCACCACCACTACTACTACCCCCACTACTTTACTACTGAACTGAACTAATGTCAGTATTGTTTCACACCTGTAGTTGCTGACTGCTGTTTTCATCGGACTTTGCACTTTTGAACCACAAAGTGACCACGACACGGGAGTACAAAGAAGTCATCAAACACACCGGCAGAAATGCTATCAACAAACACCAAGAGGAACTATAGAGCTGGCCGATCCATTCTTCAGGGCACACATAAGCACAAGCTTGCTCAGCCTTAACATAATTCGCACAGATAAACCCCGGGATATTGATTACCACTCCAAATATCCAAGAACAAGGTATAATCACCTGAAATGATATCAAAGAAAACGTATATATGGTCTGCTGAGACTTTTGATTCAGACAAGAAGGCTATCATTGTGTACCACTAATAATTAATTTAAAAACGCTCGAAGCGCTGCTACTTTGTATTTTACGGCCCGTTGTTTTTCAATGGTTCGTAGGTCAACTCTCGCGATGAAATGTCACACCCAAACTCGTCAAGGCAGACTGGGAACGAGAATGCTACTTGACAGGTGTTACACGCAAAAACAAAATTAATAATGCCATTTATAAGTTAAACCCTCTGAAGAGTGTGTACGGAACAGTCTCTATTATCACGACAGGCGCTAATTAAGAGTTAATCAAAAATACCTTGAGCTTGCGGTTAGAAATTCTTCCATTGTTTTCATGAGGATATAGCACTGCGTAATATCGTTCAATTGATGTCACAACCAAGGTGAACACTGAAGCAGCAGCTCCTATCCAACCTAAATTTCCACCAGTCAGTAGTCTGCACAGTATTGTGCCAGTTAATCCATCTGGATGGGTGAAGGCGTGTGTCAAAACGTATTGCGGTGCAAAAAACGTGGCTACGGTCATATCTGCTACAGCCAAGTTCATTAGTAGAAAGTTTATTGAAGTCCTTTGGAAGTTAAAAAAAAGGAAAATAATATATGAGTTTTTAGTGGAGAGGTTGCATGTAATGGTGGACTAATTTCCTTTGTGGTTGTTGTTGTTGTTGTTGTTTTTAACATTCGTGTTTCTATAATATGCAGTGATCTTTTGATTAACACGTTGAATATCAACCACACGCAGGGACACGAGATTTCAGTCTAATGGTTCTGCCGCTGTGGCGTTTCCTGATCACACAAGAAACTCTACTCCATATTGGAGAATATAAGTTAGCAATTAATAGCGGAGCTCCACGAACGCGAGCGCAGCCCCATACCTAAAAAAGCACTATTGTTCTTCATCAAACAGCACCTGAGGAATCAATCATAAGCTAGTGAAACGTGACTTAAGCGTTTTGCTCTATAAAATCCCTCAGAGATTTTTTATCTTTTCGTTCTAGCGTGTCGACTACACTGTGGAGAATTTTAAACTCTGACTGTGTAAATGAAGCTGGACTGTTCCATGCATATTGATTAACTGTTTCCTGCAAATTATTGTCTGTAGTTCTGACAGGATTCGATTCTAGCACCGGTTTTCTTTAGTCAATTTTTTTAAGCGTTGTTTTTTGTTTCGGCTAAATGACCCTTTATATTAATCAAGGTTTTAGTTTTTAATTCTTTTTTTCCGAAATTCGTTTATCTGAATAAATACTTGTAGTTGTTTTGTCCGTCAGTGATGATTCCCTTCTATGTTTTGTTACGCCGGGCCCAGCTCGTTTGTAACGAAAAGTGATCTACAGACGCGAATTTAAAGGAAAGAATTGTATCTTAAACTGAAGCTATACTGACTTCTAAGAATTGCCCTGTTAGGCGCAGATACAATCCACTTCGTTTTTCTTGAAGATAACTGTGTCTTAGTTTGGACCGGAGCTCGATGCCATAAATTCCTCGCTTGGTAATTACTTTTGAGTTAGCTTCACAGCCGAGCGAATGTTCTGTTCTGTTCAACTTTTCAAGTGCCAGTTTTTATCAGGCAACACTCCTGGTAATACAAGTTATAAAGGAAGACTGAAATTTTGGAACTAAAGCATTCCTCGTTATTTAGTTGCTACGTAGGTCATCGCCTTGGAACACCGCGCTGCTTGAGGTGGCGAAATCCACTCCAACGTGATGACAAAAATCCAATGATCCTGGCGCTTTGTCCCCGCTGACTATACAAAAGTTCCAAATCGTCCACAGAACGTTTAATCGTCTGGTAATTCATTAACTTTAATTTTATGATACACAGATCCCTGCGGCTTTATACTGTTACACGTTTGTACAACGAAGCCATGAACGTTATCTTGAAACGATTTGATTGGTTAATAAGAGAATTATTTCACTTGACATTGGTTAAACAGAAGAGTATTCATTGAGAATGGGTTCAGCTTACGTTTTTACTGGTGTCACGTTACCTTGACTCTCTATAAGCCGGACACCTCTCTAAGACGGACAGACATGCAGGCCCGGCCCCGAAGGTGTCCTTCTTCAAGAGAGTTGATTGTTAGTAGCCCTATATCTAGGAGAGGGAATTAGAGGATATCACGCCGATTTAAAGAAAAAGGTCTATTGACGTCGGTGAGAATTCGATGTCTTTATTAGATCTGATGGTGATGCTGTTTCGACTTGTTCAAGCCGCTAGGCCTCGTAGCGTACTTGGTAGAGAGACAACAGTAGATCTAGTCTGGAGGTTGTGGGTTCGAGTCCTACGGAGGTGAAACGATTTATTTTGCCTGAACCACGGAACACATAAACAGCGCTAGGGGGCACGTGCGCATCGGTTATAGTTACAGGCGCATGCTAGGCAAAAAAGAAAACCCATCCAACTGAAAAATAAAGCACGAATATTTCATTTAGTAAAATCCAACTAGTAGTCTGTTATTACTGCGTTCTGATTGGTTGAGCTACTACTAGGCTATATGTTATAGCCCACTAGTAGCGAAAAGCGCCCGCTTTTTGGCGGCAAAAAAAGAATTAAAGTCTAGCCTTAACCAGCTAAAGTTGTTTTGTCTCGATATTTTTGACCAGCTAGTGGGATTTTACTAAAACAATTATTCCTCTCGCCCTCATGGCCCCTAAGTCAATAGCCCATTCGGCCTTCGGTCTTATGGGCTATTGACTCAGAGCCCATTCGGGTTTGAGGAGTAATTGTTAATTAACTGGCATGGAAGTGCTGGGAACAGTTGAACGTTGCTGTCAACGCCAATTCTCCATTTTAGAAACGAAAAGGAAACAGGCTGGAATTAACTTTTGCAAAGTCCTATGAGACCGTTACTAAGGACAGGGGAAAAAAATTGTCCAATAGCTGACCGGCGCATCCCCAGTAACGACCCCAGAAGCGATTGCGGGACGCATTTCGGCTCCAGTTGCCTTCTTGTTTCTAAAGTGGCGAATGGAACCACTACATTATTTTTTCCTCAAGCGTACCTCATGTCCTGATTCCGCACGATGATTGCGTAAACCAAAGAGTTCCCGACAATGTTAAAGATAATAAGAAAGGACTGCACTGTTAATAAGAGGATCGCAGTTAATCCAACTTCGGTCATGTCAATCCAATTTACATCAGACCAATTTCTTCTTTTTTTCTACTGAAACGCCTGAAAAGGGCTTTTACCAAAAAGAAATCCGGGTTAGAATTTGGTATGAGGGCAGGAAAAGTCTACCCTGTGAATTAGCCGTCTTCCCTGCTCCTCGCCGCAGAAAAGAGATGTTAAACGTCCGTCGCGGCGAGGAGCGAGGAGAGACGGCTGTATTCGTAGGATAGGCGAAGTCATGCTTCGCTGAGGTTGTATTCGTAGGATAGGAGAAGTCATGCTTCGAAATGTTTGAGCCTACGTAGCCAAGCGCTGGACTTGCAGTCAGGTGGCCTCGAGATTTTAAGGAATGGCCTCATTTTTGAGAGACAGGGATGAAGTTTCCACGTTAATACGAAGAGCCCCCCGAACACTGCACGCGATGTCCGTGGGAAATGGAGCTGAAAGTCAAAATTGCAAAAATTCGCCGATACAATCGGCGCTGCGAAGCGATGCGTGAGCAATTTAGATGCTGCTGCCTTTTTTAATACGATCGTGCTTTGAGCTACTGTTATGAATGAACACGAACAAAGTAATAAACAGAAAAGTCAATTTTTGAAAAAAGTTGTTTGAAAACCTAGCTGTTTTTACTTGAATGAAATTCGCACTACAGCTCCAGTGTCATGTGTTCTACTCTCAACTAAACTTACTCACCAAAGCTACACATAAAGCTGTCTCGAATCTGAGCGCGTTTCCTAATATATTTACTTCAATTTAACATCAACTTGACTGAAAAGTTGATAAGACAATGCATATTTCCATTTCAATACATAACTTTCTCTAATACAAAAACACGCAAAATGTACCTTGAATCACGGGCTTAAATCGCTAAAAAACTTCGCTCACTCGGTTGTTCTTTGGAGCTCTCTGCCGAGAAGAAAACAATGATGAAGTCCTCCAAGGCAAATTTGTCGCTTGATTTCTTCGCTTTCCTTCAAAACGTCAATCAAGAATTTTTCAGCTTCTACTTTTCTTTAATTTGTACATTTCGTCGGTACATTTTAAACTTCACAAGCGGAGTAGATTTGCCCAATTTGCCACAATTTCACCGCGCACAGCTTTTTGTTGACCTGCACCAATGGGCACATTGTAGATGGCTAACCAACCAATCAGCGCGCTCTTCTTTCATAATTTTAGTCATCGCTGTTTGACATTTGGTCAGTAGTTTACAATTTTCTGCGTTTATCCATCTGCTCCTTTATTTTTATGGAAATTAGTCAATAAACAAGCTTTAAACCACACGCTGAGTTATTTAAAATTACATGCACATTCCCTGTGATGATGAATGAAATAATGAGACTTCCAGGGAAGGAAAATTATTTTAATATTTATTTGTTTACTAATTTATAATTATCATTTATGTTTTCACTAACTGGATATTTTTCTCGCCTTTCCTCTTTTTGAATTGCTATGTCCAATAGTAAGGCACATTTCCTTTTTCTCTCCAAGAGAAGTTTTACCGCTTGTGTTCGAGAATCAGTTGTTTAAGAACAAGATTAACAAAGAAACGATGGTTAGGATCACTGAGTAAAAGAGATTCAACGGACATGATATTCCTTTTGTTGTTATAAATTTTTAACAAGATTCGTTTAGAGTGTTTTCAAAGCTATCCTTCAGATAGTATCCTTGTTTAAACTTGTAGTCCGCTATCATTGAAATAAATTAAGCACAGCGAAGTAACTTTCTAGACTTTTTAAACTTTTGGGAGCTCTGTGACGGAAGCAGTGTTCCTGGGCCTTTGCAAGGCGCCATTTGATCGATCATTAACAAGGCTCAATTCTTAAGGAGTGGCAGGGAGGTGTCAGTGGCATGTTACAGCACATATCTCTCTGGTCGAGCTTTTTTAACAATCGATGTGTGATAATGTTGTGTCTCCGGGCAAAAATAATTATGGGAGTACCGCGGGGCAGGGATCGCTGTTATTTTTAATTTGGCATTAAATGGCACTAAATTTGTACTGAAACACTCAAGGATGACTCTGTTTGCTGCTGATATGACCGCATTTTATTGCGTGCTCGCCAACTGATTTGAACTAAATCAAAGCTCAATGCGGACTCTGGCGTGATCATCTTGACCAACTACAAAGTCTGGAAAGTTGCGAAGAGGCTAGGTGTCCATCAAAAGAGCAAATCTCCAGGTGATTAGTGCCACATTATCTATAGCATCAGGCCCTCGTGGTCCGTACAGCTAGGCGGTAGAATAAAGTTTACGAGCGACCTTCAGCTAAGATTAAGAGTGCTGTGAACATGTTGTCGATGAAATATTACTGCGATTAAATGAGTTGCGTTCTTTATTTTCTCCCGAGTTCTTTACTTCACAACAACGGCATTCTTCCTTGCATTCAACTGTCGTTTTTGAACTAAGAACGACTGCATAACAACAGCAAAAGGAAAACCCCAAATAAATAAAATAAAATGGCGAACCTAAGTACACAAGAATTTAATATCCAAATAGCGAT